AAAGACCTTGAAGGTTCCATATGCAACTGACATTCCAACTGCCTTGCGGGGAGGGGGGTGAGTTTGAGGTGTGGAATGCAGTGAAGTCCAATCAGCTTCCATATGCAAAAGACCTTGAAATGCTGGGCGGGACTGCACAAAGCAGCCAGTCAACCCAGCCAGCGTCTTCTGACTGACAGTTCAAGCGTCCATACACTAAAGGAGTGCATTTTAGAACTTTGGCACCCACTATTCAATTATATATAAGGAGAGATAAGCTCTCTTTCTTCTGTGAGGACACATCTGCACGTTGCCCCCCCAATAGCTAGCAATCCAAAAGAATCCAGCGGAGCCTGAGCGGTGGGTGTTGCCTTCTGACACATTTCCGGTGATGTCAGGCATATGCAAATAAGTCATGCTAATGAGCTATGCTAATGAGCTCCTGCACGTCTTTTTCTACGAAATGACCCCTGGGGACGGGGTATTCTAGGCATCACATTGACTATGGAGAGGGTAGGGGGAAGGCAACAAAGGGGCCAGGAGAGAAAGAGAGATGGTGCTTGGGGCGAGATTAGTACGGAAATGAGTCTGAGTGTGTCCACCTTCCACCTCTCCCATTCTTTCCTCCTTTCCTTCCCCATGCCAGTTTGGTGTAGTGGTTAAGTGGGCGGACTCTAATCTGGGAGAACCGGGTTTGATTCCGCACTCCTCCACTCGCAGCTGCTGGATGACCTTGGCCGCCACAGTTCTGACCAGAGCTGTCCTTGAAAAGAGCAGCTTCTGTCAGCGCTCTCTCAGCCCCATCTACCTCACAGGGTGTCTGTTGTAGGGAGGGGAAGGGAAAGGAGTTTGTAAGCCGCTCTGAGACACCTTTTGGTAGTGAAGGGCGGGGTATAAATCCAATCTCCTCCTCCTCTTCTTCTTCTCCTCTTCTTTCATTCATCCTTAATCCACAGTAGCTCTGATTGCTGAATGGAACCTCCATGTGCAGAGGCAAAACAACCTCACAATGCCAGTTTGCTTTCTGGCGTCAAAGAAGTGAGAGGTCTGCTGTGGCTCAGTGGAAGATCCTCTGCTCAGCATGCAGAAGGTCCCAGGTTCAGTCCCCGGCATCTCCAGTTAAAAAGGACCAGGCGGGAGGTGATGGGAAAGGCCTCCGCCTGAGACCCTGGAGAGCTGTAAAGAGGGGCCATGGCTCAGTGGCAGAGCCTCTGCTTGGCAGGCAGAAGGTCCCAGGTTCTATCCCCGGTATCTCCAGTTAAATAGGACCAGGTAGCAGGTGATGGGAAAGACCTCCGCCTGAGACCCTGGAGAGCTGTCAAGAGGGGTCGTGGCTCAGTGGAAGAGCCTCTGCTTGACATGCAGAAGGTCCCAGGTTCAATCCCCGGCATCTCCAGTTAGAAAAGGACCAGAAAGGACCAGGCAGCAGGTGATGTGAAAGACCTCCGCCTGAGACCCTGGAGAGCTGTAAAGAGGGGCTGTGGCTCAGTGGAAGAGCCTCTGCTTGTCAGGCAGAAGGTCCCAGGTTCAATCCCCGGCATCCCCAGTTAAAAAGGACCAGGTAGTGGGTGATGTGAAAGTCCATACTCTGAGACCCTGGAGAGCCGCTGTCCATCTGAGTAGGCAGTTTTGTCCTTGAGGGACTGATGGTCTGATTCAGTGGAAGGCAGCGTCACATGTCCGTGTGTTCTTACTTGTGGGCTTCGTGGAGGCACTGAGCCAGCATGGGGAAGCTGCCAGGCTAAATGGATCTCGGGATCTGATCCAGGAGGGTTTGGTGTCGTGGTTAAGTGCGCAGGCCCCTAGCTATACCTTGTGGCTAATAGCCACTGATGGACCTCTGCTCCATATGCTTATCTAATTCCCTTTTGAAGCCGTCCATGCTTGTAGCACCCACCACTTCCTGTTTGTGTCAGAGCTCTCTCAGCCCCACCTACCTCACAGGATGTCTGCTGTGGGGAGGGGAAGGGAAAGGAGACTGTAAGCCGCTCTGAGACTCCTTCGGGTAGTGAAGGGCGGCGTATAAATCCAATCTCTTCTTCTCTCCTCTTTCTTGCTACCTTCCAGTTGATACATACTTCATTATGCGGTAACGATCGTTGGGAGCAGGTAATTGGATTGTTAATGCCTATCCGGGGTCGGTGGCCAAGATTAGCTCATCCAGTTTAATCTGGGAAGGCATTTATCTGAAGGGGGCTGCTAAGTAGGCGGCAGTGTGTAATTGAGAAAATACAGATCTCATGCATTGACGAGCAAATTTATATGCGCTTCCTTTAGAAGAAAGTCCCGGAAGGGGCCACAGAGCTCTCAGAGTCCTGATCATTCACTCTCTTCTCTCTTGCTCATGTTAGTTAGTTCCTTTCCACCTTCGGAACAGCAGAAGAACGCCCGCCCTTCGTTTGTGCAAGACAGCCAGCCCCTTCCTGTCTTTGCACACCGGCTTCTGTTTCACTTGCCTGGTTTTTGTCCTGTCGAAACAGGAGGAAATCCTGCAGAAAGGGAAGCCGCTGAAATCATTAGCCAGAAGTCCAAGTAGGCTCTTGAATCCCGCATTCTGCGGACCTTTGCAGATGAGGGAGTTCTTCTGCTGGCCCAATGCGGCCGGTTCTGCTTCAGAGAGCCAGTTTGGTGCAGTGGTTAAGTGTGCGGACTCTAATCTGGGAGAACCGGGTTTGATTCCCCACTCCTCCACTTGCACCTGCTGGATGATGTTGGGTCAGTCACAAGCTCTGGCACAGCTGTCCTTGAAAAAGAGCAGTTTCTGTCAGAGCTCTCTCAGCCCCACCCACCTCACAGGGTGTCTGTTGTGGGGAGGGGAAGGGAAAGGAGATCGTAAGACGCTCTGAGACTCCTTTGGGTAGTGAAGGGCGGGGTATAAATCCAATCTCTTCTCTTCTTCTTCAGAGTAAGCGGCCCACTGAACTCGCATACCAGAATGCTTTAACCCTACCTGAACAACTTTAAAACAATCTAAAACAGGCAAACAATGATTAATTTGAAACCACAGCAGATGTGAGAATCCCCTGAAGAAACGGCTGGCGTCACATAGGGGGCGAGAGAGAGTATGAATTATGAAGTCCTCGGGCTGAATATCTGCCATGAAGGGCTGGCCAAACTGTGGCTCGGGTGCTGCGTCTCCTGGCAGGGCGGCTGGGGAAGTGAAGGGGAGGCGTGCCTTCCCGGGTGGTCTTCCCTTCTCCTTGCTTGCTTCCCTTCTCCCTTGCTCCCTCCCCCTATCATCTCCTTCCTTCTGTTGCCCCCCACCCCCAAGCACCAAGAAGACAGAGCATCACTTGCCCCAGAGCCCCTATCTATACCTTGTGGCTGATAGCCACTGATGGACCTCTGCTCCATATGCTTATCTAACTCCCTCTTATAAGAACATAAGAGAAGCCAATGTTGGATCAGGCCAATGGCCCATCCTGTCTAACACTCTGTGTCACACAGTGGCCAAAAATACCATGTGCCATCAGGAGGTCCACCAGTGGGGCTCGAGGGACATCATCAATATCTGTTTTACCCCTTTTGCTTTTATTTTTGCCAGTCTCGTTTAATGTTAATAAAAAGCAAATTTGCATATTTTTCAATAAAAACATGTGGGTTATGTATTTGTTCATGCCCTATGGCTCTCAGACATCTGACCTTTATTCTATGTTGCTCTTACATTAAGCATGTTTGGCTACCCCTGCTCTAGTGTAAAGACTGGAGTAAGATAACAGCTGCGATGGGTTTCTGTAATTCGGACTCGGTGTCATACAAGGTGAGTGTCGTCTCAGAGCATCTCCCTTCTTAACGCCTGGCTTTTCCTACTCAGGGTGAAAGAGCTGAAGAAGGGGATGAGATGCTGCGCGCCAGTCGTGAACCGGCGGCGGTCAACCGGAAGCATGTCTCCAAAACGCATCCAGAGTTCCCCGTGCGTGCAAGCAGGGGAGAAGTCCTCGCCAAAGAAGGTGAAACTGGGCTTCCAGTCTCCATCCGTGGCCAAGGCTCCTCCTTCGCTGTTCCACCTGATGAACCCCCCTCTCTCTTCGACCCCAAAAGGAGCCGCTCGCAAAGGGCCTCCCGACACTGCTTGGCCCAGCCACCCCGCCCCACTGAAAGGAGCTCTGGGGGCCGGCCTGCCAGCCAAGAAGACGCCCGAGGACCTCGTCCCACGTTCTGACCACGGCCGCCTCGGGCAGGACCGGGTAGCCCGGGGGGCTCCCTCTCCCAGGACCGCAAGGGAAGGCAGCCAAGGAGACCGGCTGCGGGTCAGGAGCCGGAAAGTCCCACCGGTGCGCAAGCAGCTGATTTCCAGAGCCAGCTTCTCCCTGCCGGCCCACGTGCCAGACAGCGGGAGGGTGTTCGCCGAGCAGTGCGCCGCAGCGTGGATGAGCGTCCTGCCGCAGCAGAAGGACCGGGAGCAGCACCTCCGCCTTTACCACCAGCGGTTCCAGCAGCCGCCCATTCTGCAGGAGAAGCTGAACTGCCAGCCCCTGGAGAGGTTCCTGGGCCAGTACAAGCCGCAGGAGGTCTGGGCGCAGTCCGAGCCCCCCGGCCTGCCTCCTGCCTCCCCCCCGGGCCAAGACGAGACCATGCAGCTGGAGGACCTGGACGACAGCGACTTCAGCGAGGACTCCTTCTCGCCTGGGCCCAGCCGTAGGAAGCCCCAGGCCGAAGCGGCCACGGGAGGCAGCCAGGGCTCGTTTTTCCTCCATCAGAGGGAGTGCGGGACTGACGGGAGGGAAGTCCAGGTCGGGCAGGAGCTGTTTTTTGAACTGCTTGAGAGTAAAGAGGAGGCCTCACTGAGGACGGAGGAGGCCGTTAGCGGCGAGGAAAGCCCTAAGAGTCAGTCCGACTGGAGCGCAGAAGACGTCTTGGTGCTGGATTCCTCTCCACGGAACGACACGCCAGAGAAGCCTTACTGCCTGCAAGGAGACAGCGTCGGGTGCAACAGGAGCGACACCGAAGAGCCTCCTCTCGGGCGAAATCTGCTCTGCTGTATCGGTCTCGGTTTCGGATGCCCTGAAGCAAGCTGCTCCAGGTCAGAGAAGGCGGCCCAGATCTCGCCTTTCGCCCAGGCCCTGGGATCCGCGAGAGGCGTTGCCCGTTGCCCGAGGGAAGACTCTGTCAAAGACGGCTTGGGAAATTTAGAAAAGGGGCTCCAGAAAGGAAGCGACCTCTCCGGACCTCTGGGATTCCCGTTGGACTTTGTTGCAGGAACGAGGACTCCGTTGACGGGGTCACTGCTTGATGGCGAGAGGGCAGGTGCTGCAGAGGAAGATGCTCCAGACCAGGGGCACGGAAAGGCTCCACACGAGGAGGAGAGAGAGGAGAAAGTCTCCTTTCGCCCCCAGCTGCAAGTGGGAGAGGACCCCAGACCGTTCCTTGGGAATGAAGCCTCTCCTCCAGCCCCCGAGCGTGAAACGGATCCATGCAGAAGGCAGGCTGTCCAGCCACTTTCTCCGCAAGCCAAGTGGCTCTCCCAGTTTTGTTACAGTCCGAAGGCTCTTTCTTCCTTGGGAGACGCATCCCCCTCGAGTGAGCTTCACGGCTGTGTTTGCGGGTTTTCTGCCCGAGACCCAGGCCCAGCAGAGGTCTTCTCCCCGTGGAAAGGGAAGGAAGGCCCTTTGCTTCTTGGCAACCCGCAGGGCGGTGAGGTTGCCCCGGACACAGAAGCCACCACGATTGCCTCGTTAAGCGGTCCGGGGCCACTCCGCTTGGGTGGGAAAGACTGCTCCGAACCCACGACGCTGCTGAAGCACATTGATGCTCTGGAGCAGGCGTTTGTCTCAAAGGCATCAGAGAAACAGGAACCCTCCGGAGAAAGCCCCCCACCGCAGCCCGTCCGGAAACGGGAGCGCAGCCCTCCGCAAGAGCCGTTCGAGCTGACATTGAGCAGTGAGGAAACAGGGCCCTCTAAGTACAGGAGCGTTTCGGAAGGATCCGTTCAGAAATCTCCGGAGGCTGCCGAACAGGATTCGGGGACGAACATCCGGTCTCCCCAGAGCTGCCTGAAGGACGCCTCCAAAAGATTACTCTGTAAGGAAGCGTCGGGAAGGTGAGTTTTCCGGATCTCAAGTTTTATGGGGGGGCAGCGGATACCTGCACTGGTCGGTAGCTGGGCCCGGGCACCCCGTCCTACCTCTCCACCCACAACAACTCAAAGCAGAGCCGGCACACTCCCAACGGCCGGGTGATTGATTGGTTGAGTAAAACATTTATATCCCGCCTTTCAGGAAGCAGTCTGGTGTAGTGGTTAAGTGCGCGGACTCTAATCTGGGGGAACCATTTTGATTCCCCAGTCCTCCACTTGCACCTGGCTGGATGACCTTCGGCAAGCCATAGTTCTGTCAGAGCTGTCCTTGAAAAAGAGCAGTTTCTGTCAAGAGCTCTCTCAGCCCCGCCCACCTCACAGGGTGTCTGTTGTGGGGAGGGGAAGGGAAAGGCGTTTGTAAGCCGCTCTGAGACTCCGAGTGAAGGGCGGGGTGTAAATCCAATCGTCTCCTCCTCCTCCTCCTCTGTTTTCTCCAGGCCACTTTGGCCAGGGATCCTGTAGGGTTTTTTGCCATCTTCTGGGCATGGAGCAGAAGTCACTGGGGGGCGGGTGTGTGTGGGGGAGGTATTTGTGAATTTCCTGCCTTGTACAGGGGGGTGTACTAGATGACCCTGGAGGTCCCTTCCAACTCTGTGATTCCCTGATTCCTTGTAGTTACAGTAATAATTAAAAACATTGCCGGTTTAGAACCAGAAACGAAATAGCCAACCCCAAATCTCTCCCCTCCCCCTGGTCCCTTAAAAGAGGCAGGCCTGCCAGCGCCTCCCGAAGATATCCGGGGATTCGGGGGGCTCACCTCTTCAGGGAGCCCCTTCCTCAGAGCCGGCGCCATATCGGGAAAGGCCCTGGCTCTGGCTCATGCCGGGTGGGCCACCCTAAGTCTTGGGAGAGCCAACGGGTGGCTGCCCGAACTCCATCGGGGGCGCGCAGGGACCTATGGAAGGAGACAGTCCTCCTGATGTTGGGTCCTAAGTCGCGAAGGGCTCTAAAGGTCCCCACCAGCACCTTGAATTGAACTCGGAAGCAGACCGGCAGCCGGTGCAGCTGCTTCGGAATGGGCCACGTGTGCTCCCGGCAGCCAGCCCCCTGACCACAGTCGGACTGCCGCTTCCCGGATCGCTTGTCGTTTCTGGGCCGTCTTCAAGGGCAGCCCCGCGTAGATGGAGGGGCGGCGCAAGCAGGTGTGGCGCCAAGCCTTGCTCCCGGCGTGAGCTTACCAGGTGTCATTCACTCGGCAAGCGGTTGGCTTTCCCGCCGGCACATCGGGGAAGGGGAAGGAGAAAGCGGTCCCGCTCTGAAGGTCCCAAAGCACCAACTAAAAGCTCAGTTGTTTTGCTCATCTTCCCCCCTTGGGCGGAAAAACTGGGTAAAGGCGGGGGGGGGGGGGGGGGAAGGCGCTGTCAGTTGTTTTGCTCATCTTCCCCCTTGGCCGGAAAAACTGGGTTAAGGCGGGGGGGAGGGAGGGTGGAAAGCTCTTGGGAGATGGGCGGGACAGGTCGTCGTCCTCGGCAGGCAAATCTGAGAGCTCCCGGTTGCTAAAGC